CCACTTCCAGCAGTGAACGCCAGATTCGCACACCAACAGCCCACGTGAATCTCTACTTCAAGCCCAACTCCGCCAACCCAGAACTCTTTTTTCTCCCAAATTCTCTTCTTGTTTACTTTAAACAGCAGTGGAATCACAACAGCAGCGGAAATGGCACCTGAACTCCCACATACCCAAGACCCAATTTCAGCAGCTGACGTGAGCTGGTCAAACTCGTGCTGTCTCACTTCATCTGTAGCTCCATCCACCTCCCCCGACCCCACCCGCGCTGTTCCGAGACCAAGCGACCTCCCTCCTCCACACGGACTTCTCTGCATCGCAACAAATGCACGCCACCACCCCCGCATCACCACCTGCCAGATGATCCAGCCCAGAAGCACGGAATCCTCCCAGCTCCCTCTACTTCTCCTCAGTTGACACTCCCAGCCCCGCACCTGTGGTCGCCAGCCCTCCCTCCCAGGTCCACGCCACCACTGCCTCCCCACTCCAAGCCACCATCCTCTCAGGGGACTAAGCCACAGCTTCCAAGCAAAGAGATGCCCATTTAAAATGTCAACTACCCGCTTCCCTGCTTACACTCTTCGCCGCCCTCAACAGCACCCAGCTCCGGCCCGAAGCCCAACTTCGCCACCGGCCCGGCCCTCCCGCACACGCCTTCTGGGCCCTGCTCTCCTCCGACCTGCCCTGCACCGTAGCACAGCGCGGCTCTCGCCAGTCCCTCCGCCCCGAGTGCTACGTGCACGGCCGGCTCCTCTCCTGGCTGCGCCTCGCTGCTGGTGTGGCAGCCACTGCAGAACTGTCCCCAGCCCGGCACCCAACCCTCCCGTGGCCCGGCTGGTCCCTCCACGCGTGTGCCACATCTGACTGCTCCGGATGTCGCACCAGAACGAAGCTCCCCTCACAGCAGGGCTGTGCCGGCCTCCACCCGGCTGTGTCCCCGGCGCCGAGAGCAGGCTGGGCACGGGGCAACACTCAGCACACGCCTGCTGAACGTCTAAACGAGACTCAGCTCGCCGGCGAATCCCTTAGGGGAAACGAAAGCAGCCTGGCCTCTTACCTTGCTTATTGACTGAACACCCGAGTGCCAGTGAGAGGCATGGCCTCTACATTCAGACCACAGCAGCGGGGTCTGGGCATCGCTAAGCAGAAGCAGCCCCGCAACTTCCTGTTCTCCCAGCTCACACCTGGGCAGACAGTGGAGTCACCGGCGTCATCACCTCATCTCTCAAGAGGGATAACGTCACCACTTCTACCTCTAGGTGACTCATCCAAGGCAGTGCGGGTGATCACCACAGGGCTGGGGAGGTGACTATGTGGTACTATGCTACTTGGTGCAGCAGGTATTGAGCACCAACGGGATGCCTACCCAGGCTGGGTACTACGGCTACAGAGCTGCTAAGCTGGCCTCCCCCAAGGAGCCTCCCTTTCTCCGTCAACTTTGACTTGCAGCAGGGTGACCGACAGAGCCCTAAGAGCCGTCCAGGGCCAGCAGAGGACACCACTTAGAGCCACTCCACTGTGGCTAGCCCCCTAGCGGCCAAGAGCCACCTCTCAGGGACGGTGCCCGAGGCCACCCACACCCACCTGCTTGTCCCTGCTGCCGTGTGCTGAGGTTGGGAGGGCCAAGCACTGCTCATCCAGGCGAGATGACCTCTGAAAGGCTCTTTGACCGTCAAGCTCTAATACCCAAAGCAAAGACATGCACAACTGCTGAGAGCGCCACCCGTTAAAAAGACGGCACCCTCCTCCAATTGAAGGCGGCCACGTCAGCACACAACCGCCTCAAGCTGCATAGGGGACGGCTGGAGAGAACTGCAAAGACTGAGCTCGGGACACAGTCTGCTCTCCAGCAGGGCAGCCCGCCTGGTCCAGGCTCAGGCCTCAGCAAAACCACAAGGCAGGCGGGTTGTCGGCACTGGAAACCAGCCCTGGGGGCTGTGGGATCCCAAGGCCCTCCAACCAGGGGGTCCTGCCCTGTGACTTTATTAACTAACCGCTGCCATCAGTAACCCCTCTTTTTGCAACCAGTAACACGCTCTCATTAAACCGTGTCTGTCTGAACCAAGTGCCACATCCTGTTGCCGTAACATAAAGAAAGGCTGAACGGTCAAAGGTCTGAGTTCAAGGACCGAGTCCTCCACTAACTTGAGCGAGACCCTTAAACTTGGTCAACACTCAAGACAGGACCCTTTTAGGAGTGAAGGTGGCGCTCTTGATAATCACACCAGGCCAATCAGGAAGCAGAGTCAGTCCATCTGATTCTCGGAGTCCTAGTTCCCTCACCTGAACTGTGAATTCAGATCCCCACACCTCCCCCATGGGATGGCTGTGAGGGCCAAGGAACCACCTACGGTATAACTGAGTGCTTTGTAAACAAAAAGGCAACAGTAGACATAAGATATTGCAGGACAGAGCGCAGGTCTCAAAAGCAAACCAGTACATTGAAACAGAATTAGCAATATTTTCAAAATTAATTAGGTGCTCAAAGTCCCACTGAAATCTGAGGGCAGGGACTCGTCTATCAATTCCAATGCTGTGACCCCTGGACCCAGCTTAGGTCTAGCATATTTCCAGATGAATACATGAGTGCATAACAAGGAGTAATTCATTGCCAAATCTCCCTTCACATTGATGACTGGAGAACACCTTGCTCAGTGAGCCAACCAATCCTCTACAGAGGCCAAGTACAACGTCACCCCTCTATCAAAATGTTAGTCTCGCCTGAACAATCCTTACTGCACTACAATACTCCTAACTCTTATCTCCTTGAGATTTCTAGGGCTACCCAGACCGCTCATTCTTTGAGTCTCAAGAATAAAACGTGAACTTGAACACAAACAGCCAAATGTCATTCAATTCAGAGTGTGGTTTCCTGCATCAGCATGACCTCAGACAGGCAACATTTACTGGCCCAAGTAGGGAGCAGGAACATCATAGAAAGGTCACTCAATGACTTCCCAGAGGGAACACAATGCCCCCAATGGAAAGGACCTTTCTGGGGGAGTGCCCCATGAGGACCCACTCCCAGAGCGGCAGCAAGGTCCTTTTCCTGGGAATGCTTAGCTGGAGCTTCCCTCGGGCCCTGAGACACTCCTGGGTGCTGCTTTCCCTCTGTCACGCGCAGACGACTTCTGATCCTCAGGCTGCCTCAGGGACTTGAACTACAGAGCAAGTGACATGTAAAGAGCACACCTGCCACAGCAAGGAAAGACAGGAGTGACGATGTGACGGTGAGAAGCTGGTCTGGCTGTCATGGCCCAACCTCAGGTGATATTTATTTGGACAAGTCCAAGGTGGAGCCCTAGAGTGCTGAGGCACTCTCTGGAGCCCTTGTGACCATTAACGCTGAGGAGGTGGCCCCAGACATCATACAGCTTTCTCCAAGACCCCCTCTCTTCCCAGTTCTCATTCTGTCTGGGAGTGGAAATTAGAAACAAAAGAGCTGGAATTGAAGATTTCTTCTTCTAAGATTGAAATCTTAACCCTGTAATTTTCTAACTTGCCAGCACTAAAATTCTCAACTTTTCAATCACACTACTAGAGTTTACATTAACTTTTTTTGTGGTTAACCCAAACGTGGCTCAAGATAACCCCCCAAAGTCCCAAGAATTTTGTCCTCTAAAATTCTGAAATGACTGTTCTAACTCAGGGACTGGCAAACTGTGACCAGGGGCCAGACCTGGGAGTTTGGTGAATAAAGTTTTATTGAAACACAGTCACACTGAATTGTTTACACATCGTCTAAGCCTCTTTTCACACCCCAAAGGCAGAGTTTAGTAGTTGTAACTAAGACAGCACGGCCTGTAAGGCCACAATATTTACTATCTGGCCCTCTACAGATCATTTTTCAACTCCTGTTCTAATTCTACCTGCCTCAAAATACAACAGGAACAATTATAGCTCAAGCCTGTTAAATCACTTTTTCTTCACAACTGGCAAGGCCTTACTTTGCAAAAAGAAATCCTAACAAGTCCTATATTTACAAAGTCAGCATTTTTGTGTGTTGAACAAACGAAAAAAAATATTTTCAGATTCATCATGAGTAGGAAAAGTGTATTTGCGCACATGGCCCTAAATCTATTCTGCTGAATGAATTTTACAGATTTCTCAAAAAACCATCAACTTAAAGCTGAACCAACACACACAACACCCTCAGTCCTAAAGCAATTTTCTGAAAGTAGAATTAGCTTTTTTAAAAAGTAGGGCCTAAACAATATGCCTATCAATACACAAAAGTAAACTACTGCAATAATATAATTTCTGACCATGTTTGTAGAAGTACATAAACCTTTTTATATGATAGTTTTTTATCATTAGTTTAGACTTACAACACTAACCTAAATATATCTGAATACTGAGAAACATTCAAAACAGCAAAACCAAATATTCAATTTACATCTTCAAATAAAAACAGGGCTCCTCACTGAGGCACAGGTGAGGTCTCCTCCTCCTCAGCCCTTGACACCACGTCAGCGGCAGATTTGCGTTCTAGAGTCTGAATACATGGGAGAAAACCTGGGCATGAGAAGGGCAAAAGCTCGTCCAACCTCCCGCTCCCAAATGGCAGGGCTTCCCCTTGAAAACAAAGCGACAGTGGGGATGGGAACAAGGACTTGAGAGATGCTGCCAAAAAACAAAAAAACAGAAGAAAAAGAAAAACAAAAGGTAAGCCATTGTAAGATGTAGGTTTTGAAAGAAGTGCTGGCCCTAGAATACGCCCTGGGACATCACACTTGGAGGGGCGTCCTCAATTGCTGCCATACACCCTTCACCAAAAGGGCATCCACCCACTCCAAGCTCAAAGGAGAGAAAACAAGCACTTCCTTGTTATCTTTTCAAGCCAGCTCTCTTATGTCCTGCTCAGAAAATTTCTCAGCAGAAAAACAAACCTCCCTGACTGTCCATCAGGGGGACCCGACTCATTGAAAGCCCCACCTAGAAGCAGGAACTCTGTGAACGCCGTCCAGCTGGAAAACCCCCCAGGTCCCAAAGATACAAACCTCCCGGCGAATGACACTCGCAGTCCGCTCCAGGTGATCTGTTTTCCTTCTGGACTTCATCATGCTTTAACAGAAAGGAAATCCGGTTATTGAGAACTATCCTCCTTTCCTGCAATATCAAGGCTATCCAAAACACAACATAGCATTAGGGGGCCCACAGACCAGCAGTGAACATGTGTCATCGACCTCTAGTCTGCTCGCCAGATGGGCACACACATGAGCGAAGATGCCACCTCTCCTGGGAGTCTGGCCCGCTACTCCATCGGCAGGATCAGCTACCTCCAGCGGCGCTGAGGGCCCGCGCACTCACCTGGTCCGAGCGAGGTGGCGCGAGGCACTGGCCGCCACCCTCGACGCAGCAGCCGGAGCACGGAGGGCGCCCACACAGCCGCGCCGCAGCCCGGGAAGCCAGACAGCAGCACAGGCCATGGCGCTTCCTGGCAAACGAAGAAGTGAGAGCAAAATTACTTTAAGAAAATGAGGGGAAATATCAGACTACTTTAGGGCCCCCCTAGAAGAAGAGTCTGGACTTCTGTTGGTGCTGTCGGTACTTGAGCCACCAGCAAAGCAACCAAGGGCAGGATTTCACCCTGGCCAAATTGCTGCCACCGTTTAGACTGATCCACCGTTCCTAAGTGTGGCTCTTGGTGCTGTCAAGTATCCATGTTTCCTATTGGTTCCCAAAATCTCTGACTAAGCTCACATGACAAACCTTTTGCTGTAAAGCAAGAGTAGATTATATAATTGCCTGATCAGTGTATTCCACCTGAAAAGCACCATGTAAACCTCTAACATTTGTTAGATTAAGTGAAGTGGAAGACAGTTTTACTGAGGCTCCAAAACATAAAAAGCTTAAGGTTCCGAGATGTTAAAAACCAACCCAGGTAACAATAACACTACTCATAACAGTCCAAAACTAGAAACTGCCCAAATGGCTGTTACTAGAGTGCATAAACTAATTGTGATCTATTCACACAACAAGATGAGCAAGGGACACACACATACAAAAAACCAGAATTGTCTTTTGAAGGATAAGCTCCCTATAGTACAGGCTTCTACCTCCCCAACCCAGGTAAGTGTTCTAGGAACCCACTGGCATCAGTGTACCAACTAGCATTGTTGTGAGAGGCTGCATTTGACTCCAGTGAATCTTTCTGGAGATTCTGTCAACATGTTTGCCCGTTTCATGATGGGTGATTTACAAGCACACTTGCCCACACTGTGCTGAGTGTTCAGCAGTTTTTGACCAAAAACAGCATGACCCCCGTTGTCCCGCCCTTCCTAATCACCTGATCTCACCCCAGGTAACTTTTTTTTTTGTTTCCCCAGATGAAAAAAGGAAAAAAGTTCTCAAAGGGAAACATTTTGCTAATATGGAAGAGGTGAAACAAAAAAACGACAGAAACACCAAAAAGGCATCAAAATTGGCAAGTTCAAAAACTGTCTTGAGCAGTGGAAAAAGCAACTCGATAAGTGTACTGCATTAAACTGAGAGCACTTTGAAGGTAACTGAAGTTTAAACATGTAAGAATAAATACACAGTTTTTAATAATGTCTGGGTTTTGGGGGGGGTCCCCCTAATATGAAAACAATAAGCTAAAACTACACACAGTATCATAGATGAGTATCACAAATAACACAGCAAATGAAAGCCAGACTCAGAAGAACATGTATTCTTTGATTCCAGTCACACAAAGAGCAAAAACAGACAAAATAAACTTATGAGGCTAGAAATAAAGGTAGCAGTTTCCCTCAGCAGGCGGCAGTGGCAATACTGCTTCTTAATCTGGGTGCTGACTGCATGAGTATTTTTACTTTGTAAAAATCGATCAAGCTGTCCTCTTAGGACTTGTGTACTTTTCTATGTATGTCAAACTTCAACAAATAGTTACACACACAGAAAAAGATTCCCCAACATTTCAAATTCTAAATCTACTGGCCTATCAGGAAAAGCACTGATTAGACGTCTGATAGTATTTTGTTGTTGTTGTTCCTTTATACCATTTTCCTTTTATCAATTTTTAAACATTTCTTTGCCCAAAATGGCCACACGTAACACGTTATATTGCCACATCTGTCCTATCTTAGTTATCTTGAGAATAAACGAAAATGTGAATACTTTTTTTTCTGAGCTCTTTGGAATGTACTGTAAAAATTGTAATAAATGTAGTGTTAGGAAAATATTCCAGCAGAGAGTACATACATTCCTACTCCAAATTCATTAATTTAGTCCTCCATTCAACAAATCTCCATCAAGAGCCCAGTTTGTGGCAGGCCGTGTGGCCTGAGGACTGGCATACAGGCATTAAAAACACTGAGTTCACATTGCAACACACAGAGACAGAAAATAAATACTAGTAAATAAATCAGGTGGTGACACAAGTCACACAATTTGTTCAGATATAACCAAGTCATATCAAAAAGCCCGCTGCTTCATAACTGGACTTCAGGTAAGACGGACCTGCATCTTCCTGCCACAGTGTGTTGCGGCGTCACTGTGGAAAACCCCGCTACTTGCTACTTAGTTCTCTCTTGTAGGTGAAAAGCGCCTGAGGCCTCTTCAACTTCGTGCAAGACCACTAAATGCTGTTTTCTCACCTAAATGCACTCAACAAGAGTGGCGCGTCAACCACTGAAAGAAAGAAGTCAAGCCTTACTTTAGATGTCCATGGACTTTAGGCGTTACTCAGTGTGTGGCTGGGTGGCATTACACTGAGACCTGGGGATACACACCAGCTGGAACATGGGCAGCTTTTCCACATGTGGAAACTCCCACAAAGTTCCTGCAGTGGCACCGACAACAGACAGCAATGTTTCGGGAGGCTGGTCAAAAGCACTGCTCCCTCGTGGCTGCAGGAGAAGCTGGCACAGTGCGGGCCTCGCCCCCAGCAAGCCCACAGCCCACAGGCAGTCCTCTCTTCCACTCTGCCCCCATGGTCCCGCTCTCTCTTTTGACGATCTCTTATGGCTTCTCCTGTTCCTCTTTCGAGGCCTGTCTTATGACTGTTTCCACTCCGGGAAACAGCAGACCAAAGTTACATGCCAACTTCCCTGATAAAACTTAACTGCTGTATAGCTAAATATGAAAATCCTGTTCAGTTCAGTGTTTTAGGTGACTATTGTTAAAATAGATGTCCCCAAAATAGGATGCATCGGTTAGTGATTATGCTGTTTGGATGAGCTCCTTCTCAACTGAACTGGAAAACAAATGCTAATTTTTAAAAGTGTCCTCTTTAAAATTCTGAAATCTTGTTTGGGAGCAGTAATCATGAGACCAAGAGTGCCACCTACTGGTAAAGGGCATTTTAATAAAATTCTGTTTAAAGTGCCTTCCAAAGCTTTATGCCACCAGCCCTTTGAGTAAGATATTAAAAAAAAAAAAAAAAAAACCCCTATGCCAGGTCAGGCTTGGTGGCTCAGCCTGTCATCCCAACACTTTGGAAGGCTGAGGCAATGGATTGCCTGAGCCCACGGGTTCCAGACCAGCCTGGGCAACTTGGCGAGACCTCGTCTCTACAATAAATCAAAAAATTAGCCGGGTGTGGTAGTGCATGCCTGTAGTTCCGACTACTTGAAAGGCTGAGGTGGAAGGATTGCTGGAGCCCAGCAGGTCAACACTGGGGTGGCCGTGAGCATGCCACTGCACTCCAACCTGGGCAACAGAGTGAGACTCCAACTCAAAAAAAACCTATGCATTGTTTTGTTTTGTTTCTGAATTGAGAGCTCACTCTATCTATCACCCGGGCTGGAGTGCCATGGCATGATCATAGCTTACTGCAGCCTTGACCTCCTGGGCTCGTGGGATCCTCCTGCTTCAGCCTCCCAAGTAGTTAGGAATACAGGCATATGCCACCACACTCAGCTAATTTTTAAAATTTTTGTAGAGATGGGGTGTTCAAGTGATGCTCTCACCTCTGCCTCTCAAAGTGCTGGGACTAGAGGCATGAGTCGCATGCCTGGCTGAAAGTTACTCCCTTTTTGAAACATGTCCAGTGTTTTCATATACTCAGTATCTTTATTCGACCAATCACAGCAGATCAATATATATTAAGTAATTTCTAAAACCATATAGAGGAATATTTCATCAACATCTGTATCGTCACAGACCTTCTCTTACCCCAAAAAATCTTAATTAACTTTATTTCTGACGTAGAAAATTATCAGAAATGCTAAATAAAACTGCTAACCATTAAATAAGTAGTAAAACAAATTTCTTCAAGCAACGATTATATTTAAGATTTAAGATTAATTATGCTGGTTTCAGTTCACCAAGTACACTCAGCTTATTCAACAATGTCAGGGCGCCAGGCACTACTTCAGACCTTAGAGATACTATGGAGAACCAGGTGTAAGGATCTTGCCATGACGAGGCTTTTATTACTGCTCACAGATAACAGTAAACAGATCATTAGGAAGATGGGTGGGATAAAGGAAGACAGAGGGACCAGATGGGAGGAAGACACCTTGAGGACACCTCCACCGACGCCGAAGGCTGAGGAAGAGGCTGCCAGGCAGATGTAGGAGCACAGCGTCTGGCAGAGGGCTCAGCAAGCACAAAGGCTCAAACTGGAACAAGCTGGTGTGGGCTGGGAACCAGGCCAGCGTGACCGGAGAGCAGGAGGCCGGGACGGTGAAATGAAGGCCTGAGGGCCATGGTGAGGGGACGGATGTCCCGAGGGCCATGGGCTGAGTGCCAGAAGGACGCGCTCTAACTCACAGTCACCGTGCGAAGGACGGGTCACAGAGGGCAAGAGTGGAGGTGGAATCCAGGGGAAAGCTCGGTGTGAGGGCAGAGCAGGATGAAAGGCAGAAGCAGCCGGATGTGAAGCCGACTTTGGAAGAGAGCCCTTAAACTGGCTGCTATATCAGACAGGGTGAGAGGGTGGGAAGGCAAAGAAAGACCAAGAATGCCTGGTGAACACGAGGACACGGAAACACAGTGAGGTCAAAGGGGAACCATGGGCCTGTCCACTCAGGATCCCACCGGGTCGGGGAGCTTGAGTGTAAACAAGGGTGTGCGCAGTGCGCCAGAACAACAGCAAAGTGCACTCGGGCATTGCTCCCTCCTGCCTTCTACCTTGGACAAGTCGCCTTCTCGTTTTAACAATACCCACAGTCCCTCACTGGATTACTGAGAGGTATAAATAAAATAATATTTACCAAGTACCTGGCAAGCAAGAATGTTACTAAAATTCACTCCTAGTCCATTAACCCCTTCTCTTCCTTGCCAAACAGCCTGGAGAGGCAGAGGCTTGATAATCCAGTAAACACTCCCCTGACCTGACAGACAACAGCACTCACCAACTACAGCTTCCACCATGCAATTATGACCTCATTCTAATCCTGAACTCATGCTAACAACGAGGGGCACTGTCATTCTTCTGGATGAGCGACGTTAACATTTATAATAACAAATAAAATAAATTCAAGTGACTGTAGTAACTAGTAAATCTGCTTTTGTCACACTCTCAGGGTCCAAAAGTGTGTCAATTCAAAATGTCTCTATTCCCTTTTAGGGATAAACGCAAAGTTTGTCTCAAAAAAGTGCTGAGAGGGGAAAGAAAACCCAAAAAGAAAACCCTACATTAATGCTTGGCTATGGTTCTTCTTTCTTCAGCACAGGACCGGCTCAAACAGCTGCCTCTGGCCAGACAAGGGGAATGGACAATAGCTGGTAGTTGGAAGTGTATGGACATGCTCTAACTTACGGGTCACTGGGCAAAGGACAGGTGGCCAAGGGGACCCCCTAAATCGATTATCAAGGCACCCAGCACTGCGTGGTGGAGGATCCCAGCGATCTGCAGAGCGACAGTGCGGCCTGTTGAGTCCAGCTCTGCTTCAAGTGGCAGCACATCACAAATGGCATCCCAGTTCATAACGAGCCTCAGTTCTAGGGTCAGACAGATCTGAGCTCTCGCCAGAGCTTCCTGCCACATACCAGCATTGCCACAATCCCTGCCTCATGCTTCTCAGTGTTAAAGACAATGGGGTTAATGACACGCAGACTTCACCGGGCTGTTCTAATGATAGAATGCACAGAAAGGCACAGTGCATGGCAAAGTGTCAGCCATGATTAATGAGGGGCTCGTTTGGTTTCCTTTTTCCATTTTAGGCAATACATATTCAAAGAAAAGCTGGAAATGTACAAAGAAAAAAGACCCAACAACCCTTGTAACTTTTAGGACTACCAACTTGACTTTAAGATTCCCCAGCAGACTGATTCTGATAGACCCAAACTACTTTCTAAGAGATTTACCAATTTATACTTCCCATGAGCCAAAGAGGACTGCACACATTTGTATGTATACAAAAACGGCTCATATTTAATTTGTTGGCACTCACACTCAGCAGCACCACAAATGTTTCCCGACCTAAGTGATCACGGGGGCTACAGAACAGACCCTGGAAAATCTTGCTTTTCCTCCTGTCTGTGACAGGCTGCCTGAGAAGTATCTGTGTCTACAGAGATCCCGGGAGCAGCCACTGAGCTGCGTGGGCTCCGCCGGGGTTTCGCCTTTGCCCAGACACACCAGAATTAACACAGTTAATCCTCAACGAGCTTAACAGGTGTTTCCTAGCTGCTAGGTACGTCTCTAATTATGCCAAACGAAGTGTTTGTGAGGCCTCTGAAATAATCTTCCATAAACTCATTTAATGTAACTTCTGGCTTTTCTCCCCAAAACTCTGTCTCTAGGTTTTCGAGTTTCGAAAGAGCTAAATTGGGTGGAGCTTCATCTGAGTGAGCAAGAAATCGGAAACTTCATGCAGATGTGTGTGTGTGTGTACATAAGCACACGGAAATACTAGGCAAATGGAAACTATACGAATAATTACTGATGTAAGTAAAACTCATATTTTCCATGCAAAAGTAGAGTGAAGTTCTGAGAGGATCTTATCTCTAGTCCAACCCTTTCTAGGTTCTGAGAGAAATAAGGCCCATAGAATGTCACCATCCGGTTACTAGAGCTAATTACAATTAGCAACTCGAAAGCGGAGCCTGCATCCTCTCCCAACAGTGCTTTTCCACGAGGTGCATTCCTCCCCTACGAAGGGACTCACACGAAGTAATACAGATGGGGCCCAACTTTACCGGCCCAGGCACTAGCACGGCCTAAAGCCACAAGGCCTTTCGTTGCATTACATTTGCATTCCGCTTCAAGGTACACACAGGACACCATGCCTTTCGCAAAGGAGAAACCAGGGTTCCCATAAGCCGTCTGTCCCCGGGCCCTGGAGGCAGACGCGCTCCTCGTCGTTCCCCGGATGTGGGATCTCGGCGAGATGCCCGACTCTGTCCTCGGTCCGAAGAGTCCTAAACTGGAATGACGCCTAAGCTCCCGAGCTGACGGAGTACCCGGCACGACACCCGTTCCCAGCGGGGCAGGGGCCGCGGCCGCCCATCTCGAGCTCGACCCCCGCCTCCCAGGACCGGGTCCTTCAGGGTGGACGGAGACGCCCGGGGCGAGGTGGCGGATGTACCTGCAGCCAGGAATGGAACAAGCTGCGCGTCGCCTGGGTTCGAGGTCACTCGGCGAAGCGAAACTCACGGGACCGCCTCGATGGCCACCGGGGAAGTAAGTCGAGGACGTCAAGCTCCCCCAGCCGA